ATCAAACCAAAGTGGATACTTGGATATCACGTCGGATCAAACCGACACCATTATTACTTTAGGGTTACTAGTCTATGGGTAACCTCCCTATGTGCGCACTAGACTTGTAGAGGGACAATCCCCCATACTAGAATCATGCCCTAGCCTTAACCATAACAACGACATCCCAAGTTTCCAAAATCAACAATTTGTGCAACAACATATATGTATTAACATAACATATATATATATATATATATATATATATATATATATATATGTGATGTAAAGCCATCTACCATGCACAACCAATTTTGGAAACACAATACATGTCCTAAGTTCTCAACTACAATGGCATGAAGAATGTTGAACAATCATTATACATTTTGTTACTCTTTATAACAATATCATTCAACAACAAGAACATAGTCTCACAAGTATGATATAAGTTTAAAAATCATAATTTAAACATGCAATCAACATAGGATACATACTCATTCACTAACACAACAAGGATAGAAGTTAATTTAATAAAATAACTAGTTTCTCTATATTTCATTTCTTATCCAAACATGCTCAATTTAATATATGTTGTAGTACCCATCATGGTCATTACATAAATCATTTCAATACTTGATTTAAATCATAAGAACATAATAATGAAATTAATTAACTAATTTATCTAGATTTCAAAACAACCATAAATGACTTCAAGTTAATATATGTTATGAATCAAGTCATGACCTTTCAAAAAATCATGTCTTAACTTAATTTCATCCAATGTATCATTGACTATCAATTTAAATTTAGATTAAAGACATGTAGTTCATTTGTACCAAGTTATAAAACATATAAAACATTAAAAACATAGTTTAGAACACCCCCTACATCACAAGAGGATTGTTCCTCTTGAATCCAAGGAAAGTAAAGGAATTTCAAGTTTTCCTTCTAGGGTTATGAAGAGGAAGATGAGGTAAGGTTTTTGTATTCCAAGCTCAAAGGTCTTAGGTGAGTGGAAGGGCACTAAAATGAAGCCTAAAGCTTTAAACCAAGCTTAGTCTTCAATGGTGGCTAGGTTAGGGTTCTTGAGAGGAAAGAGATGAATGAAATAAATGTGCAAACCCTAAGTTAAATGTAGTGGGATTCTCCACTCACTAGGTACTCTTGCACTACCTTTCACACACACACTTGCAAGACTAAAGGTGAGTCCTACATTTATCATGAATTTAAGCAAACTTCCAAGATTTTAAATCAAGCCTACACTTGTCAACCATCCATGTCAACAAGTGCTCCTATCCTAGGCCAACAAATGGGTGAATCTTCACCCTCTATGTGTCAAGAGATTATGCATCCAAGTCTCCTCACCCCAATGCCAACAAGTGGCACCATGAGAATGTGACACTTGTCATATTTTCTGAAAATTGCAAAAAGATCCTTTTTGAAAATACCTTCCAAATTAAATTACAAAATGGTCCCTAAGACGAAAAATAATTACTTTGCATAATTACACTAAAACTCCAAAAGTTTAAGAAAACTATCAAAAGTTATGCATCCATGCCCTTTACAAGAAAAGTAAACATTTAACATGTTTTTCTACAAAAGTAAAAATGTAGATATCATGGAATTTAAATATCATGGATGTATGCAAGGCCGGAATCAAATCCGATTATAAAAAGTGAGGTTATGCAAGGAAAATGATAAACGAGAAAAAGACGAAAAAAGAAATTACCGAAAAAAAAGAAAGGAAGGAAAATGACCGGGTCATTACATGATACAAGGAAATAAAGGATAATAAAAGGGATGTATCATCCTTACCTTTTTTTTTTATAAATTTTCATCTATAAAAAAATGGGCTGAAGAAATGAGACAAGACAAGTGGACTATTATATAAGTTCTAAATTAAATATTATCCTAAATTATACAAGTTTTAAATCATAGTACCATCTCTCTAAATTACAATATTATAAATATTATTATATATAATGGTAAAAACAATTATTATTTTTTTTTTTCATAGTTGGTGGCACTCACACACATGTCTCTACCGAGACTTGAACCCCTGACCTCCCTTTGGGAGGTAAGGGATTGATACTGTTAGGCCACTGATGTTGGTAACTTTCTCTTTCCTTTTTCACTCGTAACTAACATAGTAAATTATGAGTTTATTATTATTATTTTTTTCTATCCAACCGAAAAATAAAAAAAAAATAAACATATACTTTATTTCTTATGGATTCATCCCTTATTCTTTCCTTCCATTCAATTATTTTATTTTATTTTATGTTTCGACGAACAGATCATAAAGTAGTAGATATGATTGAATTTAATTGCGCCAATCCGTGAAAATCCGATTGGATTAAATTTAATGCCTAATTAGATAAAATCCGATATGTGGTCACTCCTTATCATAATGTGATGGATTATATTTTTTCTATAATATTTTAGCATATTTTGTAGCCCATGTCATAGCGTGTGCTATGTAATAAGAGTGTTTTATAATGTTTCAAATGACTTATCTGTTTGAAGTTTGCATAAATGAGTTGAGTTAAAGTTCAAAATTTAAATTCATTCGGCAAATAAATTAATGGGTAAAGTGCATTAAACCCTCCTGAACTATTGAGGTATGTGCAAGAAACCCCCCTGAACTATAAAAGTTGCAAGAAACCCTTCTTAACTATTAGGGTATGTGCAAGAAACCCCCCTGAACTATTGGAGTATGTGTAAGAAACCCCCCTGAACTATATATTTTTTTACAGTTTACCCCATCCGCACGAATTAATTGACTGAAAAGGACGATGAAGCCAAGGAATTTGTGGTTGGGATCCGAGTGGTAGATGTCGTCTGAGGAGTGTTTGGATAAGCCAAGGAATCTATTGTTGGGATTGGTGGGTCTCCTGTCATAGCTCCATCATAGCCGTTGCACCACCAGCCAGATCCGTCGGTCATACATATCGCACTTCTTTGCACCATTGCGTCAGTCCATCACCGTCACCGCCTTGCCTGCCGTTCAGCTCACCTTGCTCGCCGGTCTATTCCACCATCCATTCCAAGCTCACCGCCCCATTCCGCCATCTCCATAGCCGAGCACACCGTCGTCCGTGTTTCGAGCACACAGTCGTCCACAGTTTACCGCCGAGCCCCCTTGAGCTTGCCGCCGCCTCCACAGTTCATGGCCAAGTCAACCGAGCTCTCATCACAGCCGAGTCCTTCGCTCACAAGCCGCCATCATCCGAGATCGAGCCATCCCGCCGACCTCGGATTTCTTTGGTCTCTTTTTTTTTTTTCTTTCTCTAGCTCTCTGTTTTGGGTTGTGTTGGGTGAAAAATATCTTTTGGTAGGAAAAAAAAAATGTAAGAAGTGTATAAGTTAAAACGACGTAGTGTGTTATAAGGGTAAACTGGTTTTTCAAAATTTTTGGTGCCGGAAGCTGATGTCATGGGGGTAAATTGCAACAAAATCATAGCTCAGGGGGTAAATTACAACAAAATCATTGTTCAGGAGGGTTTTTTTGTAATTTAGGTGGGTTTCTTGCAAATGACCAATAGTGCAAGGGGGTAAATTGTAACAAAATCATAGTTCAAGGGAGTTTTTTATAATTCAGGAGGATTTCTTGCAAATGACCAATAGTTCAAGGGGGTTTAATGCACTTTACCCTAAATTAATATCTAAAATTGTTAGTATGTTTTTTTGAACACTTAACTCGTGTAAGCTTTGTATGCGTTCATAAATAAATCACAAACACACTGTTTATATAGTTTAATATAGGTTTCTACAAGTTAATAAATACTTAAAATGATGTAGAACATGAGCACAAACTAAACCAAAAAATATGAATTTATTGAGGTTGCGTGTTTTGTTTTGTTTTGTTTTTTTAATTTTGTTATTATTATTATGATTAAAGTTTAAACGATTCAACTTGAACTCAAGTTTTTGATATCGATGATGAGTTGTACTAATGCATAGCTTTTTGGAACTCTTCATCTTCATGATTTTTAATTGAATATTAGATGAATTCAGTGTGACTGATAATATTCAAGATCAATGAGTTAACTCGATTTATTTATTATCTTATATATTTAGATTTACATTTTAATTATTTACCACATAAAAGACACCTTTTTCTTTTTAATGGTCTCCTATATGATCCATATATGAATGTAAATGTTTTCTAACCATAGGGAGAAAAAGAATCAGGATATTTTTCAAGAGAATTCAAAATTAATTTTTGTTTCGATATGAGATTATTCAAAGCACAAGAGTATGATAGTAGACAACCTTTCAACATTACTGGTCAAATTTCAATATAGGAGACGGGAGACCATTAAAATGTTTATTTGCAACAAAATTCGGTACCCACCAAATTCAAAGAGTGATATAATTTAAAGAGAGTGACTTTATATATCAATAAAACTAATATTCGCTTTTTTAAAAGCATTTATTTACTTCTCCTTGACATATTCGAATAATATTCCATCATTGATGCTATGTGACAAAATTTGACAGCACGTCAATGATATGCTTAACCATTGTATTACTTTAAGGAATTCAATCCGTATAATTTGTGTATCACATCTAACTATAGACAATTAAGTTATTTTATTTAGACTTTAACAAAAGTATAAATTAGCTCATTAGCTAATGTATTGTCTTATAGATTAGAAATTATTTAATAATTTGGTTCGATTGAGATTTATATATATATATATTTCTAGGATTCATTATTTTATTGAGTATTATAAATAACTTAAATAATATAATATATAATTTTGATAAATAAATTATTATACATATTAACACGTTTAACTTTCAGGTTATGGTTGAAAATTTTTGACAATTATTATTAAGTCAAACATGACACGATTATAACTTATGAACATGAACACGACACTATTATGACTTATGAACATGAACGTCCACTTCTAAATTTTATGGTACCTGCAGCAAAAACGACACGGTTTGGATATTAGCTCCTTTGTCACAAATAACAACCCCATTTTATGTCCAAACCAGAAATCAAAATTAAAAGAAAAAAGGAAACTACTAGTAATTACTAGTATAAACTACACCTAAAATTATCTTCAACACCTCATCGTCAAAAAAATCTCTCTCCCGCCATGAAACCACTGTGTTCCCTCACAACACCTTCACAAATCGTCGCTCCCTTCTATGCCATAATCTCCACATCCAAAACCTCTCCATTTCTCCAACTCCGATCACCTCTTCAATCCCTAGGGTTTTGTTGCCCCAAATCACTCCCTAATTTGCCTTCTTCTTCGAAGCACTCACCAAAATCTCAACCCTCCTACAATTTTCCAGGCTCAATTTTCCCCGCAGAGTCTCAGCTGTCTGATGCCGACGAAGATGAAGATGACGATGACGACGACGACGACGAAGCAGCAGAAGAGTACGAAGAAATCTCCGGCGAAGTTTCAGAGGACGGAGCAGAAAAAAGTGAAGATGAAATTGGTAGTTCAGTGGATGATGAAGCAGAGGTGAGGCCGCGGTTTGTGGAATCCAAGTGGCAGAGAGTCGAGAAGCTTTGCAACGAAGTCAGAGAGTTCGGCGATGAAATCATCGATGCCGATGAACTCGCCTCCATTTATGATTTCCGCATTGATAAATTTCAGGTTTTCCATTTCATACACTTTTCAAATTCACACACACATACGCATATATACATATATATTAAAAAATATATGGACCTGTATAAATATTCATTTTATAACTTATTGGTATAATTACTGTGTGTAGCGATTGGCAATTCAAGCATTCTTGAGAGGTTCATCGGTTGTGGTTTCTGCGCCTACAAGCAGTGGAAAAACTTTGGTTGCAGAAGCTGCAGCTGTTGCAACAGTAGCCAGAGGAAGGAGAATATTTTACACGACTCCTCTTAAGGCATTATCAAATCAGAAATTTCGTGAGTTCCGGTATGCAATTATTGTTTTATCATTTAAGAAAATTAATTTTTTAATCTGCAGGTGGTCATGAAAATATATTGATAACATATTGAAGATGTCATTTTGGTGTTTGTCTTTTTTAGAGAGACATTTGGTGATAGCAATGTTGGTCTTCTCACTGGAGATTCTGTAATAAACAAAGATGCTCAGGTTCTAGTCATGACCACAGAGATTCTACGCAACATGTTATACCGGAGGCAAGTCAGTTCATATTTGATTACTGGTTACACATCACATGCCATTCGTCAGATGGCATATTTTATGCAAAGAAACCCATTTAGGAAACTAGATGAAATATTTGAGTATAAATATGCTGTCATGTAGTCATAATTTCAGAAATACCATGAATTGGTCTGTGACTGACCGCATGAATTAGTAGATATGCTGTTATGTGGTCATACTTTGAGTATAAATATGCTGTTATGGTGATAGTAATGTTGGTCTATGAATTTTTTGCCAGTAAATGTTTTTATTTGGTTATTTATCAATATAAATGTATATATTCATTTTTCATATATTTGGAATTATCTTTTTTATTTCAATTTTGTTTATTTATTTAATTTTTCCTAGTTGGTACTCCACCCCCCCTCCTCTCTCTCCTTTCTAGAGGATTCGAGCCTTAGACCTGATGCTTCATGAGGCACTAGGGCCAAGTTCTTATCCACTTGAGCCAACCTCTTGGGGTTAATATTGTTTCTTTTCCTTAATGCAATTTCTACATCTTACTCCAGGATCACGTTTTTTCACTGGTTGCAGTGTTGGAATAGTTTCTTCTGAAAGTGGACTTTTCCACGTCGATGCTGTTGTTTTGGATGAAGTACATTACCTAAGTGATATATCTCGGGGTACAGTCTGGGAAGAGATTGTGCGTACTTTTCTATTACCCTAGTTCTCTTATTTATCAGAAGTTAATTCACCTATTTATTCACATAATGTAGTGTAACATGCAGTCCAAATTTCTTCAGGTTATTTATTGCCCAAAAGATGTTCAGCTTATATGTCTGTCGGCAACAGTTGCAAATCCAGATGAGTTGGCTGGTTGGATTGGTCAGGTACTTTGGTTGTCTAGTTTGATCTTTCCAAACCGTATCCATTGAGAGGCCAACTTGAGAATATCACATTTTTTTTGTTGGGGTGAAAAGAGCTTTAGCTAGATTTCATTCCCTAACACGAGTGCTTAAAGACAAGAAATGCATAATGACAGTTTGATTGATAATGATTCTGAAAATGAGATATGTGCATACTGAAGGTATTTTGCCTATGTAATGTAGTTTCAACCTTTTTTCACCTTTATTTCTGCCGGGAGTTTCATTTTCCAACTGGATTTTCTTCTTCCTCTTTGAAGAACAATTTGAGCAGTAGTGAAATCCCAAAATTTAGTATGGCCAGCACTATCATGTTTCGACTTAATGAACTAGTTAACTGCTATTCTTGTACTTATCACAAAACGTCTATTTGTCTTCTACATTTCTTCTTGCATGGTGATGGTGGTAGCTTTTCAACCGTTTCTCTTTTTTGCTCAATGTAGCATCTGCCTTGGCATCCTGCAGTTTTTTCGTTGTTCGTTATATTCATGCAATTCTCACATATGATTTATCATCATTATGCCATTGACTTCATTATTGAGATCATGTTTTATATATAATCAAATGCATCTTAATACAGTTGTTTGGGGACCTGTTTTTTTAAATTCTAGGTTATTTCGAGCTGTTTTATGTGAGGTTAATTTGGATAAATAATTTAGAAATTATTTCTTAGAAGGAAATAAAAGGTTTTGACTCTCTTAATTGTGCACAGTATTCACGACTTATCAAAAAAAAAAAATTGTGCACAGTATTCACGATTTTCTGTTATTTTATTCTGCATGTCAATGATTTATTTCTACGTTGTGCTCATAATCTCATCATGCTTTAGCTAAGAACCTATTAGAGGATTAATAGTAGACTTAAGCGCTTTCTTTTTTATTTTTTTTCACTTTGTGGTGTTTCTAGATTCATGGTAAAACTGAGCTGGTCACTGCATCCAAGCGTCCAGTTCCGTTGACTTGGCACTTCTCTACAAAGACATCTTTGTTGCCTCTTCTTAATGAGAAAGGAACAGGCATGAATAGGTAACCTCATTCATCCAGAAGTGTACTTTAAGAGTTGTTTATAGTTCATCTAATAACAAATGCGAAGTATTTAATGATTTGATATTTTCTATATGCCTGGCATCGGCAAAAGTGAACTCTGCTTCACTAATACTTCATTTTATTTGTTAATTAAATATGACTCTTTCATTGTAACAAAGATGCATGTGTTGCACTAATAATGAATTAAAGTATGTCTGGACATCAGTAGTTTAAAAAGTCCCTGTTTAGAAACTTTTCTCTAGATGAAGAGGCTTTACAAAGCAAGACCTTAATGTATGAAAACTGTGATGTTGTGGCTCGAATTTGGTGCCGGGTCGTGTTGCGACCCACTTTCGACTCGATGACAGTAAAAATTTTGACCTGTTTTTGCTCATGGGTCGTGTGTGGTGTGTTTATTTTTCTGTCGTGTTATCGTAATTGTTGCTTGGTTCGCTGCATTTGTCATAACAAAAACCATGTACGCTTTTTTAGATACTTTGAGGAGTTCATGGTCAAAAGCAATAAATTCATCTGTCTTCTATAGCTACATCTCATCAAAGTTTACTGTGGTTGACATTCTTGATGAGAATGGGAGCATTTAGTTCACAATTACTGATATATAAAGACAGGTTTTTGCACTGAGGATCACTAAGAAGCCTCTGAAAATCATTAAATTTGGTAGTACCCACAGAAGGCTTCACCACTTTTTTTAACCATAAGTTTTCAATGGTTCCTCCTTCCTTTTCATCTAGAACACATGGGTGGGCATTTGGTATTTAAAACTTCCAGTTTTGGTTTCTATTTGGAACAGGAAGCTGTCGCTCAACTATTTACAACTTCATTCATCAGGAGTTAAATCATACAAGGACGAGGGATCCAGAAGAAGGAACTCTAGAAAACGTGAAAGTGACATGATCAACAACAATATTGCTAATATAGCTGGACAATCTTATCTATCAAAGAATGACATAAGCAACATTCGCCGTTCACAGGTATGGACTGAAGCTTACTGTATCGCTCTTTTTTGGCCATTTCTTTCTTTTCATTTTCATTTTCTTTTTCCTTCATTATTTTTAAAATTTTTTATATATTTATATTTTTAAAATTTTGAACAAGAATAATTACTTGTGGTTGTCCTCTACTTCTGACTTGTCACATCCTCGAGGAATGACTAATTAATTTGATTACCTGGAATGAGATTTGGATTTTCAGGTTCCTCAAGTTAGAGATACATTGCAGCACCTTAAGGCAAGGGATATGCTGCCAGCAATTTGGTTTATCTTCAACAGGAGGGGATGTGATGCAGCTGTTCAGTATCTTGAAGATTGCAAGCTTCTAGATGAGTGTGAAATGAGTGAGGTTCAACTGGCCTTGAAGAGATTCCGTGTTCAGTATCCTGATGCTGTCAGAGACTTATCTGTAAAAGGTATTCTACGAGGGGTTGCTGCTCATCATGCTGGCTGTTTACCACTCTGGAAATCCTTTGTAGAAGAGTTATTTCAGAGAGGACTTGTTAAGGTTGTTTTTGCTACAGAGACGCTTGCTGCTGGGATAAACATGCCTGCTAGGACAGCTGTTATTTCATCTCTCAGCAAAAGGAGTGAAAGTGGCCGTATCCAGCTAAGCCCAAATGACTTGCTTCAAATGGCTGGGCGTGCTGGGCGTAGAGGCATTGATGAAAGGGGTCATGCAGTTCTTGTTCAGACATCCTACGAAGGGGCTGAAGAGTGCTCCAAGCTTCTCTTTGCTGGTCTTGAGCCTCTTGTATCACAGTTTTCTGCTTCATATGGAATGGTGTTAAATCTTCTTGCGGTTTGTACTTTTACCTGGCGCCTATTTTGTCTAAATACGTTGATGCTGATGAGATTCACTAAACTTGAAGTGTTAGAGCTGTGCAGGGTGCAAAAGTTACTCGTAGATTGAATGAATCAGATGAAATGAAAGTTTCCCAAGCAGGGCAAACTTTGGAAGAAGCGAGGAAGTTAGTTGAGCAAAGTTTTGGAAATTATGTGGGGAGCAATGTTATGATCGCTGCAAAAGAGGAACTCGCAAAAATACAAAAGGAGATTGAGATGCTGACTTCAGAAGCTAGTGATGAAGCTATTGATAAAAAGAGCCGGAAACTGTTAACAGATATGGCGTATAGGGAGATTGCTGATCTGCAGGAAGAACTAAGGGTACCTCCAATACCCGCTTCCATTTTTGCTGGTCTTTTCTTATATATATATGTTTTTATATATTAGGATAGTTAGTTGCTTATATGTTTTTATATACGTGTTACATGGACTCTCATATTGTCCTATTCCCCTTAGCGTACTCATGTCTACATAGTATGGGCATGGGATATGTTTCCAACACACATACCCAAATCGGACACCTCTAAGTGTTACAACAGCAGAAGAAAAGCTTAAATTGACAGCAAAGAAGAATTTCCTACTTTTAAGGTTGATGAAACCTTTTTTCACCATATTCTATTTAATTAATATTATTATTGTATATATTTTTAAATTATAATAACATAATATATTAGACTGTTATGTAGCATGTTTTTAAGTATGGAAAATGTGTCCACATACCGTATCCAAGTTTTGGAAACACTTTCAAGCTGAGTCCCTGCATCTTAAGATTTGAAATTCAAGTAGGTTCGGCGCATAGGCAGATACCTATACCCGATAAATGTACCCAAATCCATGTAACATAGTTGTATTCTAATTATGGGTCTCAACTTATAAAAAAATAAAAAAAAAATTATGGAAGTCTCAATAAGACTTGCACTATTATTTATTTGGTAAAGTTATATTGTATCGGTTGTTCAGCATCAATGTAATCTGCATACCTGATTGAAAGTTGGTTTACTTGATTAAGTGTTGCATGGAATAAAAAACTTAAACCATTTGAACTTCATTCCGCCTGAGATGCCTATCCCTCTATTTATTTGGTTTCATTAATTCTGTTTCAATAAGTTAGATGCATGGCAAAAGGCTATCCTTCTCATGGTGTATCAATACATCAGATTATTTATCTTCTTCTCTATGTTTATGCTTTATCATTCTGCTTTTTTACTTTTGCATTGTATTTAGTTTTCAACTAAGTACAACTCCTGTTACGTCATTGTCTGTATTTGGAGAAATTATTAGATGGTCCTGATCTATTTGACACTTGGTGGACTAATTCAATGAAAACCCTCCGATCATGAAACTTTGTAATTTATTAATACACTCTTGTGGGGCCATTTTCTCAATCCGAGAGTTTGTATTTAATTGGTCCACCAAGTGTTAATGGTCCAGGACCTTCTAATAATTTATCCTGTATTTGGGTATGTATATATCAATGATCCATTCTATTATGGTTGGTCACCTCTCTCTCTCTCTCTCTTTTTGTTTTTTGTTTTTTGCAGACAGAAAAACGTCTGCGGACTGAGTTGCGAAGAAGGATGGAATTGGAGAGGGTATATGCTTTGAAACCTCTACTCAAAGTGTTGGGAGATGGGCATTTACCATTTATTTGTCTGCAGTATAAGAATACCGAAGAAGTTCAAAATTTAGTTCCTGCTGTTTATTTGGGGAAGGTCGATTCCATGAATGGTTCTAAACTTGGAAATGTGGTGAGTGTTCAATGTTTGTGCACTTTGTTATACCAGCTTTGAGTTTATTGTGGTTTGAATTATTTTTGAATACTTAAACTTTTTGTTGACCGCTAAAAGGTGCTCTATTGATTCATATTCATGAAAAATTCATTAGAAGTTGTTGCTAGATAATAAGTTGAAGAGGGTAGGTAAATTGTTATGCATTTCATAATCTTCTAAGTACAAACTTCAGAATGATTTACAATGCTCCTTTTGTGTTGAACAATACTCAAAAGATGTAAACAAAGCTTGATAACTTAGACGACATACATGTCTAAGGGGTCAGATAACTGGAGTTTCTTAGCTAGCCTTTCCACTTGTTTCCCTCACTTATTTTTCCCATCATTCATACTCACAAGAATGGAGAAGTTGAAATAGAATTTCTTGTGGATTGTGAGAGGAAGTTGAATATTATATTAAGGCATGGAAGAAGACATGTAAAACACAGAGAATGAGGGGTTTCAGTATTGATGAAGAAGGTACACCTTATTAAGTCAGTCTGATTTTTGGGTAAGGTTAAGATACATTGTGGATGCAGATTTTGACGGCTAGTCTTATTATTGTGCATGGAATGGTTGACCCATGAGAATATCGGGGAGATTCGTGGAAGATGTTTGGTATGGTGATATTCTTATGTGCGTAAATTGGGCTTTTTTTTAGAATGATTTATAAGTGAAGAAGCTGTCATGAGTTTTGCACAAGGTTGTGGTAAGGGATCATGGTGCTTTTCATGTCCAGAGAATCTTTAAATTTGAGATTTGATTCAAGGAATGTACTTTAGCACTTTTTTTTTTTTTAATTTCTTTTTTCTTTAGCATTACTTTTTAATTAATTGTTTTAGGGTTTATTTTCAGAATTCAGAATATAACTCTCTCTCTCTCTCTCTCTCACGCGCGCGCATTGGGAGAGGGATGGGGGTGGGTGGGTGGAAGGACTTTGCTTCTTCCTGTTTTATTCAGCATGAAATTTGTTGGTCATAAATTAATAGATAGAGAGTTAATATGATTTTAATCTGATCATGGTTCACTACAAGCCCCTTTGGTTGATTCAGTCAAAATAGCAACTCTCCATATCTCTTGAAAGTAAATGATATCTTATGGTTGTTTGTTGTGTATGGGTGCGTTGGGGTATGTTTATTTGATTTCCTATTTGTCTAATTCTTTTGGATGCTGTATTCTAGTATGTTAGTAATTTGTGATGCCTTCCGCATTTTTGATCATCTATGTTGTTGGCCTGACCTACTAAAGAATGGAGGCGTGGCGCCAAAAAATTGTGAATAACCTTTATTGTAATCTTTGAAGTGCAAGGAAAGATGGACCATAAATTTGTGGATATGAAAACTACACTGAACGTTATGGGCATGATCTAAATGCTTTGATACATTTACTCATTGGTGTTCTGCAATAAAATTGTTGTGGCTCCTTGTTAGATCATAAGAAGGGGATTACTCTATAACTGTAATTATTCTGCTTGTTTCTGTATCTATAATACCCCGTACTTTGTTTTAGCTAATGCACTGACATTACTTATAAATAAAGTGTTGAAAATCCAGCTCTGCATCAATTTTCTGATGCATCTGTGGCAATTTTTTGTGCAATTATAATGGCTTGGTGAGTGGTAAGAGGAAAAACTTTGGTGTTGTTTTCTTTTAGAATAGTTAGATGTTTCCAAATCTTGGGGCACCTGCCAAGCAAAAACATGAATTCTTGTCATCATGTACTGGTTTTCAGTATGGTGTTGTTCATTCTTTGTGCCAGTTTCAGAGAAAGGCACGCTCACTTGTCAAGAATTTCTCAAATCTATTTATGTTTCGGTAAAATAACAATGAATCTTTTACACCACCTCAGAAAGTTGGGCTGAAAAACTCCCATTCTCAAAGAGCCATCTATTGTTGGGCTTCGAGATGGGACATAAAATTAAGTTGTTGGCGTAGTATGCTAACAAGAAAAGTTAAACATGAATTTCCACTTTGAGCATAACTTGAACCTAGTGTAGTCAAGCTTTGGGTTGAATATGCCTATTTATAATTATTTACGTTCTTTTGCTACTGGTCGGATTTATTTTTTCAAGATTTTAAGATTTTTGATAATTTTTAGATTTGACAGTTTTTCTGGACTTGGGGTGTCCTAGTGGTCCATGGCTCTTGTTTTAGATTAGGTTATGTTATTAGGCTTTTATATTGAGCCATTGGTCTAAATATTTTATTAGGCTTGATGGAAGTACACAATTTAAATGTGTTTCGTCATTCTCTTACTTACAGGTTGATGCCAATGATTCTTTTGCACTAGATATAGTAGGACCAGAATTATATGTTGATAATCCTGGAATGAAACTTGACGTGAAGCCATCTTATCATGTGGCTCTCGGTTCAGATAACTCTTGGTATCTTTTCACAGAGAAGTGGATTAAAACAGTTTACAGAACAGGCTTCCCAAATGTTGCCTTGGCTCATGGTGATGCTTTGCCCAGAGAAATCATGAGTGCGCTACTTGATAAGGAGGAAATGCAGTGGCAAAGGCTCGCAGATTCCGGACTTGGGGGTTTATGGTGTATGGAAGGATCTCTAGAGACATGGTCTTGGAGTTTAAATGTGCCTGTTTTGAGTAGTCTTTCGGAAGATGACGAGGTAACTATATGCTGGAACGGTTTAATTGCATTACTATTACCTTCTATGTAGAAAAGTTTATGATGCTTATGATACTTATCTGCCAATATTGGTGCTTTGATCGCATGTTAGAATCACTCTTATATCCACGTGTCTGGAATTTCATCTGGACCCCACACAATTGGGAACACCTATATTTATCTTTAAAATGTGCATAATTTATGTAGTATGCATTCTTGCCATGGGAGGATGGAACTCCAATATGCAGTAAGCTAGTTATTTTATGACTTGTGTCAGAAAAACATATTATGTAGTTTATAATATGGGTAAGTATTATTTTGACTAGACCATTGAAGGATTCTTTGTGATCCACTGAATATAAGAGAGAATAAAAAATTAAGACATTGATGTTTTCTTATTTCATGCAGTAAATTCACAAACATACATGTATAGTTGATTCCCATGTTTAAAATTCAGTGAAGTTACTGTCCTTGACACAATTTTTTTATTTTATTTTTTATTTCCCTCACCCCCCCACATATAGGAGCCTGATTTTCTACTTATCAATATTGCTACATATTGTACTTGTAATTGAAGAACTGTAGTGAGCTTCCAATCTTCAATTGGGCAGTTCAATCCAATAATAGCCCTTTTTTTCCTTAACTAGAAGTGCTGAGCAGAGAGTGATTCTGAACGTTAATAGCTGGGAGATCTTTGAGTTATTACTATACTGATGATTTTTAGCAAAACAAAACTGATGATTGGCTGACCCCTTTTGTTGTTAGGTTTTGCAATTCTCACGAGAATACCATGAAGCAGTAGAATGTTATAAGGACCAACGGAATAAAGTTTCGCGTCTGAAGAAAAAGATAGCCCGTACAGAAGGCTTTAGGGAATATAAGAAGATCATAGATATGGCTAAGTTTAGTGAGGACAAAATTCGACGTTTGAAGGCTAGATCAAATCGTTTGATTAGCCGAATAGAGCAGATTGAACCATCCGGTTGGAAAGAGTTTCTGCAGGTAATATGAGCAGAATAAATTTTATCATCTGTTAACATTTAACTTTAGCCATTGGTGGCAACTTTTCTAATCATGGACAGACGCAGTATTTCACTCTTTTCTGTAACATTTTCTGTATTACTCCCTCTGTCCCAAAATTCTTGGGTCTTTTGGGGAATCTAACTTTTTATGTTAGTGGGTTTTTATTATTATTTTATTGTATTGATAATAGTGAATTACCAAATTTATCCTTGTTAAAAAACAAAACAGTACTCCGAAATTAGTGCACTTGTTTAATCAAGTTAATGTCAAAAGGGTAGCTTGGGAATGTTATAAAAGACAGTATTTTGGCTAATCATCCATTTTTGGAATGGGACATGTATTTTGGGACATCCCAATGAGGAAAGAAGGCCAATAATTTTGGGACGGAGGGAGTACATATCCTTAAATAATTTTGGGCCTTTTGGTTGTATTACTATCATATTGACATACAGTGAATAGTAGTATATTTAGTTTATTGCTTTTTAATCATCTCTGAGAAGATATTGTTTTTTTCAAAAAAACTTTATTCTTCTTAGTTCATCATCACCATCCTTGCCTTTTTCCCATATGGATGGAGTCTGCCACATGAATTCTCTTTTCCCATTCTTTTCTATTATTCACCCTATCTTCTCTTAAATTTAGGTTTCTTTAGTTGTTTTTAGTTACTTCATCCCACGTAAGCGTTGGTCTGCCTCTTTTAAATTGCATTATCCATCAAAAGTAGAGTGCAAGAGTACTCTTTGTAATAATTATGCAGCGTGGGTGTCTTTTCAAAGGGCAATTGTTTCATTCTTTTCAACAAAGCAAGTGGAGTGCAAGTGGAGAAAAATGGATTGTGAATATCATCTCCCTAAATTTATTTTTATGTTGATTTATTTGTTTTGAAAAACATCGAAGGGGAGAGGACTAGTAATTCAAAAAGTAAGCCTAATAATATTAACTTAATTGAGTGAGTTTTTTTAGGTTACTTTATAAAAAGTTGTGTTAATAAGCAAATTTTTCTTGGGACTGAAGTGATACACCTTTTACTTTAATATTTTCATTATATCTGCCAGATCAGCAATGTCATACATGAAACCAGGGCATTGGATATCAATACGCAAATGATATTTCCTCTTGGAGAAACTGCAGCTGCAATTCGAGGAGAAAATGAACTTTGGCTTGCAATGGTTCTTCGAAATAAAATTTTGTTAGATCTAAAACCTGCACAGCTTGCAGCCGTCTTTGGAAGTTTAGTTTCTGAAGGGATTAAAGTTCGTCCCTGGAAAAATAACAGGTATAATCTTTATTTTAGTTGTGATCCTTTTTTTTTTTGGTGGGTAGGCTGCGATAACATCTTCATGGCTGCTATGTGGGTCCACAAAATAAACTTTGGTCGACTACAAAGTATGTCTGTTCCGCTCATTTTGGTTCTAATTTTTACTTATTTAATACTAATATGTCTTAGTTGGACATTAAAAAAATACAGAATCTCCAGTGGGCAATATTCAAGTTTGGGATTGTGTTGTATCTAGACGTGCCATGGAAATTGAAAAAGTCCATTGAGATGTACATGGGATTGAGCTTAACCTATTCTATGTTTTGACCGAATTTTCTGACTAGGGGCCAGGTACCTTAGAATTATAAATAGGGATACTCCTATAAGCATTAGACATTAATTCTGAAACCAAGAGAAGCTCTCCAGCAACATTTGGTTACCAGCCTGGGTGTAGCACATGTATTTTTGGGCGGAAATCTCTCTCCCATGGTTAGATCAACTATGACATATCCTAGTGTTTTTTGTTATTGGTTTCAAATCCTCAATCTGTTTGTATTTTAATATTTATTAGAAGTGAGCGCACTTTAGTTAATGCGTTAGTTAACTTCTTTTTCATAACAAGTCAGTGTAGTGAAGTTTTAAGTTTTGTCTTCAAATGTCATGTTGAAAATTGTGTTTCGGTTACTTTTTTTGTGGAACATCCTAGCCCCTCTTACAATGAAACAGCCTTAGCGCAACGGTAAGGTTGCTCCATCGCGACTTGGAGGTCATGGGTTTGAAACAAGGAAACGGCCTCTCGGCATGCGGAGGTAAGGCTGTGTACATTTGACACTAACCAGACCCCGCAACAGTGGGAGGCTCGTGCACTGGGTTTGCCCTTGCCCTTTATCCTAGTCCCTCTTACAATATTCTAAGTATGTTGTTTGCTTATTATATACAGTTTTATTTTTCTGATATTTACTGCTAGTCTTTAAGCTGCATACTGCATGGAAATGACAGAAGAGCATCATAAAAAAATGCTTGGACTTTATCAACTTTATGGAATCTTTACTACCAAAATTGGAACTAATTTGAGATCCTGTGACTAATATATTGTCTTCAGCTACATATATGAACCTTCCACCACTGTAGTAGACGTCATCAACTTTTTGGATGAGCAAAGAAACTTCCTTCTACAACTTCAAGAAAAGCATGATGTAAAGGTGAGTCCAATGGGGTTAGTAGAGCCTTCCCCCCTCCTACATATTGTTTTGCTTTGTAGTCAATGCAGTTGGGAGCATGTTTGTGGCATACAGATACCTTGCTGTTTGGATCGCCAATTTTCTGGTATGGTTGAAGCGTGGGCTTCTGGTTTAACGTGGAGGGAACTTATGATGGATTGTGCTATGGATGAAGGTGATCTAGCTCGACTCTTTCGACGAACAATTGATCTGTTGGCTCAGGTTTGACATGTATAGAGTTTTCACATGCATATTCATATTATCACATCCACCACCAGTTTGGGTTCTCAAGACTAAGATATGTGAGACAATTGATATCTTTCTCTTATTCTCCTGATCGAGTTTATGGTGAAGACATCTTTTCCCCCCCTTGATTTTAGGTTCCCAAATTGCCTGATATTGACTCATTGCTGCAAAGCAACGCAATGACCGCACTCAACATCATGGACCGTCCACCGATTAGTGAACTGGCTGGATGAAATAAATAAAAGAGCCGTCAAAAGGTATTTCTAAATTATGTGGTTAAATCTCACAAGCTGATTGTTTTTTGGGGCCAATATATGTCGGTTTACTTTCTTTTATCAAAATGAATCAAATCTACGAAGCCACATCGTGTGACATTTTTTCTAGGTTTTATGTGAGATGGTTCGAATGGAGAAGTGCCTTTATGGTAGTGTATGATCTACTGGTACACATTAAAATAATTTTTTTTACAAAAGGCAATTAAAAAGTAATCTTGCTTAAATTAAAATGTTTGTAAACTGAGAAATTGAGAGTATTTGAAAGTGACAATGTTGAGATACAAAGTAATAAGAGAGAACTCCCATTGTCAATTCGTTAGTGGATATAGGTAGCATCAATGGAGGACATGATGAGAGAGAAGCAATTGAAAATGCTTTGTACTTGTGCAACAAAATCAAATGCTGCACCAGAGAGTGATTTGTTAAAGTTGAAGCATCTAAAGTGATGAAGGTTTGTCTGAAGGAAAGATAAAAAGATAAAACATCTAAAGGCTCTGACAAAGGACATACCTTGTGCGCCGCCCCCCCCCCCCCCCTGCGGGGCCCATGTTGGTTCCGCCCTTGCAAATTCATAAATATACAGAGGTTGGGTAGTAGGGTTAACAATAGCTACCTCTACAAAATAGTATAAGTGAATGTATGACAAGATTACTCAAAAAAGAGAGGAAAAATGTAAATGATGAGGAAAATGATTAACTAACTATTGTTTAGGAAACATTCAGAAAGCCCAACTTTACTTGATTGAGGCTTGGAGAGGTTTCTCTATTGGGGTCTCATTCAGGATGCTTGGAGGGCTACGCCTCTTTGTATTTGGTGGTGCATTTAGCTCGAGAGAAATCGGAGATATTTCGATGGAAAGGAGAAGCCTATTTCTATGCTTAAGTTCTCTATTATCTCCACTCTTTTTTGTTGGCTCCCCGGGGAGAGATTATAGATCTATTGAGGAGATTGTTGTTTTTTTAGCCTCTTCGAAGGTTTGAGGCGCCTTTTGACCCTTGTTTTCTTTGGGTTTCGCTCCCCTTTTGAGCGTTTTCAATAAAATCTTACTTTCAAAAAAAAAAAAAAAAAAAGTGCTGTGATGATCATACTTTTGAATATGCTCTAGTGCCGTTTATTTTCATGTTTAGGAGTTTGCTAACTTGACTCTTGTCTCATCAGATATGTTACACTTCATATGTTGTGCCCTATCGATGAATATGTTATGGTAAACATGCTGCGACGAGTGATCGCTGCCTAATCACTAAAGGACTCTTGGCATGTACTGCTGCTGCTGCTAAATTCCTGACAGGCAATCTTTTGATTCCTTTAACTCATGGAAGTATCCTTTTTTTTGTAGTTAAGTGACTAAGAGAATTGTATATCATGACCTAGTAGTTGTCCTACCAGAGATTTATCTTAATTGTTATAGAGGAAACTTGGCAGGTTGAGGGGTGTCACCCAAAGTATGGTACCTTCAACCCAAGTCTAATCCAACTTGATCTTCAACCCAAATTCCTCCACCAGCTTAACGTGCGGTCAACGTTCAAGTCTATGAACTCGTTGAACTTGGATAAGGAAATTGCAAATTGGATCGAGTTCGAGTGGTAGAAACACAAGGAGGATTCTTCCTGAAATTACAAAGTACTGATATTTCTTCCAAAGTAGAATTCTACCAGTAATATATAAAAGCAATTCTAATGAACTATCATCTTTTGCATATTCTTTTCAAAATAAGAATTCTACTTCTAATTTAAATAATGGAATTGCATAACCTATTGTTGCGATTTCAAGTTAGGATCAGTTAGGCTTGTGTTGCAATTTTGGTTGGATCGGCTGCCAGATACCTCATTCTAAGCCTTGGCTGAGCTTTAAAACTATGTTGCTGTGAAAATTTATGCTGGGTTCGAATTGGTTTGCTGTTAGCTTCAAGTTGCACCCCTAGGTGTCACTACAATGTGATTATAATAATGTTTTTGAACCTTTTTCAAAGAAAATACATTGTAGTAAAACTTTCAAATGACAATGGAGTTTAACATGAAATTTTGGAGAAACTCTCTTATATAGCATTCTTTTCCATTTCTCTCTCTCTCTCTCTACATTGACCAACATACTTCTATACACATCAAAATAACATACACCCCACCCCCAATTTGAGAAGTGAAAATTTATCTGCAAATGCTCGATCAGAATATGTCTCTCTAAGAACTTTTATGGTAGAAACTTTATTATTAATAGTTTTAGTGCACCAGCATGCTTTACCCCTACCAATTAGACACAACACGTTCAATGCTTAAATACTATGAGAGGGCTATGAGAGGTAGATTGGTAAAGGTGGACCTATTTTATATTACATTGACCTGTAACAGATCCATGGTAACTGTTAAGATAACAAAAGCCCAATTAAATTAATATTACAACCATAATGTAAGTACAATTCGAAAATATGGGGAATGGCTGGCGATCACCAAATGTTCAATATTTTCTTATTATTGTTAAAAGGAACATGGCCAAGTCATCAGTTGCACAACTTATTATTATGGTTATGATGGGAAAAGTTCACTTTTTGTGGTAGCTATTATCATTTTCACTACTTCTAGGCTGATTATGTGTTTATTCTTTGTCTGAATAGTGTTGCAACCAGCTTCATGGTATTGCCATAGTTGTGGCAGCGCATTCGGTTATTTATGGCATTGAGGGAAGGTATCAAGTGCATCCAAGTGAATCAGCATTTGGAGATAATTCTTTATGTGGTCTTGAGGAAGAATGACTCTCAGGTATGGGCTTCTACCTGGGATGTTCAACCATTTTTTTTCTTTCTTTCTGTTCTCAAATTCTGGTCGTCTGTATAGGCAAGGCTAATATAGATCATTACCTTTCTGGTTGTCATGATTGGAAATTTTTGCTCCCTGGCTCAATTGGTAAAACTGTTGACAAGTGAGGGAGTTTACAAGTCTGATTTATTACAGATCGTTTATTGCTGAATATTCATGTCATCAAGAAGAAATAAAAATAAATATTTGCTTGAGTTTAGTAGAGATACAATGTTCGTGACTGCTGAAATGCACTAAATATTACCACATCTTTCAATTTCTCCACTAACATGCAATTATAAAATAAAACAAATTTTATAAGATGTGTTAATTGTGCAATGCTTTGTGAAATTATGATATAACATTTAAAATAGGATCAGATGTGTAAATATTAATTAGGACACTCAATTTTTTAAGTAGCATGGTCTTCTTGAGAAATAGGCATAAACCAAATATTTTTCTCCCCGAAGTACTACTTGTAAGGATCGGAGAAAATTTGCTTTTTCGTCAAATTAAACCACATAGGCCACCTTCATGGGTTGTTTTAAGTGTCAAATGTCATCATAGATTAGAGGTTTAACATACTTCAAATTATTAAGTGGATAGAGAAATTGCATCATTTAGGTTTAGCTTACTTTAAATTATTAAGTAGATAGAGAAATTGCATTATTTATATGTTGTAGTATTCATATGAGCTAGCTAGTCAACACCTTGAAGGGTGCATGCTGGACCTCTGTTGTAGACTGACCAAAGAATAGTAAGTACCCGAGCTTCCTTTCTGTAGTAGAGAAAAGTGGGTCCCCTTTTCCACAACCTTCCCTTTATCCATCACTACAATCTGATCACAGTTCTGTATGGTACTCAGTCTGTGGGCCACCACCACACACGTCCGTCTGATCATCAAGCGGTTCAATGCATCTTGCACCACTCTCTCTGCCTGTCCATCAAGCGCACTGGTCGCCTCATCAAGTAACAACAACGAAGGATTCTTCAGTATTGCTCGAGCTATAGCAATACGTTGCTTCTGTCCTCCTGATAGCTGCAATCCCCTGTCCCCACACCATGTGTCATATCCATCTTTAAGCTGGGTGATAAAATCATGAGCATTGGCTGCCCTTGCTGCTTCATTGATTTCTGATTCATTTACTTTTTCGGGCCCACCGTAGGCTATGTTTTCCCTGATTGTACCCGCAAACAAGGTTGGTTCTTGGCTTACTAATGCAATGTGTTTCCTTAAGCACCTAAGATGATATGACTTCAAATCTCTACCATCAATCATCACTGAACCGCTTGATGGATCGTAGAATCTCTCTATCAATGCGACGATGGTAGATTTTCCAGACCCACTTGGGCCCACCAAAGCCGTTGATTTCCCTGCATCAATGCTGAGGGTCCAATTTTCAAAGATGATCACATCAGGTCTAGTGGGATACACGAAGTGCACGTTACCAAACTCCACATGTCCCATTAGTTTGTGTGGTTTCAAGCCCATTGTGTCTTCGGGTTCAATTTGAGTGGATCGATCCAATACTGCAAAAACGGAGCTCACTGCGTCTGCACTTTTGGCCAGGTCACTAGTCATGGTTCCTGCATCGGCTATAACTCGACCTGTGCTCACTAAAATTAAGAACGTCTCAAATAAAGCTTTGACAGAAATTGATCCATCTGAGACAAGTTTACCACCATACCAAAAGCTTAAGGCCCAACTACAAGATAAGACAATCCGACAAGTCCAATGCCAGCAAACCATGATTGTCGATTGCTCTCCTTTCTCGGGCCTTCTTGTGCCTGATTGAATATCTTAAGAATTCGACATTATGCTGTCAGTGTTCGGATGTTGGACACAGCTTCTGCTGCGAGCTTGCTGCTTTCATTTTGGGCTTTGATAGCTTTTTTGGACATACTCTTGAGTAGCACCCTCCGGGCATATAAGCTGGCCACAATTATGGGCTGGGCCGCTATCATGACCACAGCGAGCCTCCATGCTATCACCAGGCCCATTGTACAAGATATGGTCACACCAGAGACTGTCTGCACAAGAAGACACATCCTATCCCCAACCAACGACCTCACCTGAAAATTGCAACACATAAGTGAAAGGGGCTTTACCCAAATTTACTCCCGCTATAACAGGATTTTGAGGAGAGACAACTCGAGACAGAAGTAACATATGATGTTTCCCAAAATGCCTGTTTAGAATCTCAAATTTGTCAATGAAACTGGGCATTAAGAACCAAATAACTTCTTAAACAAAAGCCTAGAGCGTTAAGATGGAAGAGATTACCAAATTGGCATCCTTGGCAAGCTTAGAACAGATAGGTCCAGTAGAATTTTCGTCTTGATCAAACCACTCTACTTCGAATGTAAGGATCTTGGACAACATGCTCTCTCTAATTCTCTTAGTTAAGTACTCTCCCATGGCAGCAAAGTTGTAGTGCTGTGTAATGTTAATGAGCAAAGAGAACACAGCTAAGCCAAGAAAGAACAATGCATACATCTTTGTCTGTGACTTGATCTCACTGTGATTAGGCAAAAAATATACAAACACCATGCTGCCCATAGAATACCCAAACAAAGGTTGCACTGCCCCATCTAGAATTGCACTCAAATAACCCAAACTTGCTTGTTTCCATTCCGGGAGATTTAGAAGTAGCAGTCTCCAAAATGAAGGATTTGGGAGGCGGCTTTGTTGTGTAATACTGCTCTTACAATCTTGTGATGGCTCAGTGATTGGTTCTGCAGCTGTGTTTGAGGACGTGGTGTTTTTCAAGCTTGAATCATGAGTACTATTACTTGTGTACTCCATATTTGGCAATGAAGGTTTTTTTCCAATTGTAGTGGTCTGAATTTGTTGCAGTCTAAGAAGTGAATTATATATCCCATTTATTTTTTGGCTCAACTCATCGTGTGATCCGGTCTCCATAATTTCTCCATTTTGGGTCACAGCAATTTTGTCAGCATTGCGAATTGTTGAGAGCCGATGAGCAACCACTATTGTTGTCCTTCCAATGGCAGCCTTGTCAAGAGCCTTTTGAACAGTTCTCTCTGATTCCGAGTCCAATGCAATTGTTGCTTCGTCTAAGAGCAGAATCCGTGGAGCCCTAATCACTGCACGAGCAATTGCAATTCTCTGTTTCTGTCCCCCAGACATCTGAATGCCTCTCTCACCCACCTGTGTACATGTGAAATAGTATGGTATTAGAAGTACCTTCTTGAAATTAGCTTGAAATGTATTATGTATGATATAGACCTGAGTATTGTATCCTTGTGGCAACTGGGAGATGAAGTTATGGGCATTTGCTACTACAGCTGCCTCGATAATCTCTTCCATTGTCACGTCTTCTTTGCCATAAAGTATGTTTTCTTTAATGGAAGTCGCGAAAAGAGATGGTTCTTGGCTCACTAAACCCATCTGTAGACGCAGCCATTTGAGCTGAAGCTTGTTAATATCAACCCCATCTAGGAGAATTTCTCCTCCGGTTGGATCATAAAATCTTTGCAACAGAGAAATTATGGTAGACTTTCCTGAACCACTAGCACCAACTAATGCTAGAGTCTTTCCGGCTTCTACTTCTAAGCAAAGGTTTCTGAAGACTATGTTGCTTGGCCTTGATGGGTATGCGAATTCGACACCCTTGAATTCAACCGTACCTGTAACATGTGGTAGAATCGTACCTTTTGTGTCGTTGGAGTCTATTTTTGGGACCCTTTTGATTACCAGCATGATTCGCTCTCCTGCTGAACATGCCTCGGAGAAGGTCTTCATGTTTGATAACCCTGAGCCTAGTGCCCTGAACAACATGCATGGTGAAAAGTTAAAGGCGGAAAAAAAAAAGGGGGAAAGAGAGGAAAATAAGTGATCAAGAAAGGAAAAGAAAAATTGTTGAGCAGTTATCAATACCCTAAACCATCATGGTATTGGTTAGTGGGTTATTACTCATATATATATATATATATAAACTTTTATAGTATCTATAAACTTCTTTATACTATACTCAATCTCGAACTCATACTCTAAACGTATATATGTATATATATTCAGCTCATTTAGCCAATCTCGAACTCATACTCTTAAGTTCGATATCAAGGTTGTTATCCGAACTAGTTTTAGTATTTATGTTCACAAATCTTAGAAGTGTTTTTCCAAGAAAACCGGGTCATGAGTTGCTCGAGATTGATTCGTTTACTTAACGTGTTCATAAATTTTGTTCAAGATCACCTAGTCGAGCATGGATTTCAATAAAATGCCAATAAATAAAAAACAAGGCACAGGAATGGAGAATTACTGGCCGGCAAGGGCAATGAGGCTACCGACGGCAAAAACAGTTCCTCCTCGAGCTCCATGATAAATCACCATTCTGCTACCAAACCAAAACATGAAGGACCATATAGCGAAAACAAGGCCTTTGCTTCCGATGGCCAATCCCTTGGCCAAACCCTGTTTCAATCCCAGCTTCACAGTCCCCTCGAGAGCTTTAGAGAACTCTTTCATGGTCTTTCTTTCGCCCACGAAAGAATACACTGTCCTTATCGACGAAATCGCCTGCTCTGCTATATTACCAGCCTTGTTATATTCCTCCATGTTCTTCCTTGTTAAGCTCATCAAAACTTTTCCGTACATAAAACCTGAAATGACCAAAAGTATCACAAATGGAAATGCAACCAGAGCCATCCTCCACATCATTGCGAACGCCAATATGTTGCCTCCGACGAACTGTCCCACGTTCATCAAGAAGTTGGGCACCTGTTATGTTAGTGAAACTTACAAGTCAAACTGATGCAGGGGAAGTTATGAACGTTCACGAATGAGCAATAAACAACTTTGAATCCACGAAATTTAAGTAAAGAAATATAAGTCAAGAAAATTGTGAAAATTTAATATTATCCTCCCTACCATTGTGTATATATATTATAATAATAAAAAAAATTCCCAACAGCATAAGAAAGTCCAAGAAAAGCTAAAAACAAGTTCAATTATTTATTTGGAAGTTAAAGCAACTTATAATTGATGGAATGGGATTCGAACCTGGACTTTTGGTCACAAGCATCACATGCCCTACCACTGGGCTATCGCACCACATCCTCAAGTCCAAAATTCAATTAATTCTAGAAGTTATGAAAACAGTAGAATAAGAAATCTAATCACTAAAAACTATTAAATACTAAAAATCA